ATTAGTCCATAACAACATTTATAAATGTATGAATCATATGGTGAAAAACTGACTTTGAAAAATAAATCTGTTCTTTTTTTCTTATAAAAGTTTATATAAAACAAAACTATTGGTAATTTTTGACTGTGTAACTTTATAAACGGCAGCCCACAGTGATCTGATGGATTCACCACTTCATGCTRACTGATGGTTTGACTTCCAGGTCACCGTGAAGACTTCCTGCTGCCCGACCGCAGCAAATACGTCAACATGGAGAAGCGCTTCCTGCGCAGCTACATGGACCTGCTGGTTCAGACGTGCCATCGTCGGGGGGCAYTGGCCACTGGAGGCATGGCTGCCCCCCTGCTGCCCCCCAGCCCCGACACAGACTCCTACAGGAGGGTGTTGGCYTCTGTGACCAGGTGTTTCTTCACATGCAGCTAACAGCTAACAGCTAACAGCTCCTGTTGTGATCAGCTGAAGGCATTAACTCTATGTTTGCTAAAACAGTCAAMTRTTTCATGAATCAGAACAGATTTAATGAAACTCTCAGAAAGTTCAAACATGAACAACTGGTTCACATTAAATGTTCCCACAGATCATCAGCCTTAACCAAAACAAAACAAACCTGGTTGGTTTTACAGACGTTGAGCTAAAATTTGATGTCGTTTTAACTGAGAATCAACAAATATCCTGGACGTAAGATTTTACAAGAAATTGACATCTTTTCATAGTTTGACCAAAACGGCTACAATTCTGTAGTTTCTCATCAGGATTATTGTTATATTATTTTAAATTAGAGTTGAATTAAATCCATCCACTGACTCCTGACCTCTGTTGTGAACACACAGACTCAAAGAATCATTGAAAATATTTAAAAACCAAATGTTTTTTGATCAGTTAGTTTTTTTGGTGGGGGGCTGCTCCCTGTTTCAGAGAGCACCACATCGAGCAAACTCACATGAGGACCTGGTAACTTTTTYACACCGTAGACCCTTCCTGATGCAACCACAGACCACTGAACTGCCCACACGTGTGGAGCGGGGGCTGCCATCGAGGGCAGCAGCAGTGGGGTTGAGGGGAGCAATGTGACGGCCACCAAAAATCAGACCCTTTTGGTTTTACAACAAACGATAGGAACTGATTCACAGACAGTAAAGAACAATATGTTTTACTCCTCATGATGAATTAATTTTGTTTTTAAAGGAGGGGTGTTAAGTAAAATTGACACTTTTGATTTTACATCATGTTATAATATTATTCCCTCATCAAAAACTTCTTCAGGGTGTTGCTTTGACTCATTCATGTTTGAGAAATCCTTCAGTCTTCCTAGGGTCGTGTGGAGCTTCCTAAACACTTCCTGATGCAAAGCTCCACCCATTTATACAAAGCTCCTCCCTGGAGGTTAGGCTGCAGCTGAGCTACCGCCCCACAGACCACCCCTCKCCCAAGGCATTGTTGTGRAAACATGCTGAAGTGGAAGTGTCCGAAATGGTAGGAGGTTTTTAAAAAAGAATGAGCCTGGAAAATACGCAATAACCCCAACCTGCTCCCCTTTAATCACAGAGACAATCCATACAATTTCACTTTTTCATAGAAAACAGTCAGAGGGATGGAGTACAGCAGCTCAGAGGTGGGGTCTGCTTAACAAAACACACGGTTCTGTCCACAGGATGTGATGTCATAATGTACGTAAGATAAGACAAGATAAGATAAGATATAAGATATAACATAAGATAAGATATGATAAGATATAAAATAAGATATAAGATATAAGATAAGATATAAGATAAGATAAGATAAGATAAAAGA